GCGTTTGGAGCTGATTTGAGGTGATTGAGATCGAATTTTTCAATTGAAAATCGAAGAAGAACACAACTACAATATACCGCTACGGTATACAATATGCTGTAGGACTATATAGCTATACTGCAACACTATACTATTATAGTTTACAAAACAGTATACCGCTACAGTATACTAATATACTATAGGAGTATATNCGCTCTTCCGATCTAATATCTTGGGCAAGCTTCTAGAGTTTATAAGGGTTTGGAATAAGTTTTCCCCGAGTTACACTTTGGTCCCCAAATTTTCTGGCAACTGAACAGTTCACCGCGGCCGCGGTGGGACCGCGGTTGGACCGCGGTGAAGGCTAAACATTCTGCCTCACGTTAGTTGTCTACCGCGGTCCAACCGCGGTCCCACCGCGGTCGCGGTGGATTTCACCTCATTCCATTTTTGTTTCTTTATGCTCGGGTGCTTCTTGATTGGACGTTTTCTTCACATTATTGACTCNTTTTAACTCTTTGCGTAAAATTGTATACCCTGTTGGTATAGCTATATACTATTCCGGTATCATATATTAGTTAATATTTTTTTGGTTGTATTAACTACATTTAATTGGTACACAATTTAATTTTTCTTTAGTAATAATATAAAAAAAAGAATAATAAAAAATAGTGAAAACAGTAAATGAAATTAGATTATGAAGAGAAAAAGAATATTAAAAACAGAAGTTAAATAAAATTAGAAAAGGAAAAAAAGAAAAAGAAATAAGAAGAAAACGAGAGAAAAAAAGGAGAAAAGAAAAAAAAAGAAAAAAAGAAGAAAAGAAGCATAGAAATAAAAAAGAATTGGAGAATAAAGAAAAAGTTCCCCACAAAATCTACTATGGGTAGGAAATGTAATTAGTTTATGGGTAGGAAAACAAATAGACAAGGGTAAATAGTTTTGTTTTTGTGGGTAACTGTGTCAAAATTCCTATTTTCTCATTATTTTCTTAGCTTATAATGTAAAAAGCCCTTGGGCTTATTCCCTTAATAGTCCAAATCCAGTGTGCGTCCAGAGCCCAGATAATGAACAGTAGGTCTAGACAGGTTTAGTTTGTTAGGCCCATATAACAAAGATACATTTGAGGCAATACTTGTTGTCCATAAATATCCTGCTAGAATTAGGAAAAAATACATGGAATATTGAAGATTTAGCTATAGACCATGTTACATAGATATTGAGAAAAAGTCACTTTATGAATTCAAGTTGAGTATATAGCATGCCAGGAGTATATTTTTCATAACTTTTATACATATAATTATCTTGTAAATAACTTGATTATGTAAATATTTTTTAACCATCACTTAAAATCATGTTACAATTTCTTCACCATAGAAAAAGAAAATATATCTTGAATTCGTTGTAGAAAGAGAAGTTTCTGTTTGTCATGTCATCCCTGCAGGGATTGGTTAAAACCCCTTAAATCTACCAATAGTAAGTAAGCCTTCTAATTTTACTTATTTTCTGACGCTGTACCTAAATAACTTTTTCAACCTAAAATTAAATAACATAAAAAAAAAATAAAAAAAAAACCATACCCATCCCCATATTTTTAAGTGGCGTAGTACATCATCTTTAGTAGAACTCACGATTTTCTATTTCATTTTCCCCATTTCTGTTTTGGGATTAGATCCTCCTGCACTTCCCTTTTTGTTAAAATGGAATTTGTGTCAGCCAGTATATAAAGATTGCTTTTTCATTGGGAAATTTCTATACGTATTTCGTTCCGTTTACATTTTGATTTTGTCTAATATTAAATCCAACCTTTCCAACCAACAAAAATATTTCCAACCTTTGGTTTCTAGTCTTCATGCCAAATAACAATATGGTTATTATTTAAGTTTAGGTTCACACAATTTTATGCAAAATGAGAGATTATAAAAACAATGACTTGAGTCTGTTTCATATACAGGAATAGAACCTATGCTAATGTTGTTAATTTTCTCACCTTTTCAATGATAATTCTTAAGAAACAAGATACTAGATTTTTATAGCTATAGTGTTTAATATAAAAAATCCTAATTGAATAGGGCAAACGTATGAACTAGTTTAATTTATTTTAATAAATTAAAATAAAGCAAACCTGATACATTGTATTTGGCCATTAGAAGCAAATTGAGAACTAGGTTATCGGTAGAAATGGCGAAAACACAAGTGCACAAAAAAAAAAAAGTACAGCAAACAATGGCATAAAGTGCAATTTAGCCCAATTATTTTACTCATTTACTTGCAATGTGCTATTATCTTTATCTACATAGGTTAAAAGAAATACCCACTCAAACTAATTAATCAGGGAGCATCTTTATTTATACTGTTAAAGGCACGAACAAATAAAGAGAAAGTAGACAATTAAGAAAATAATTTACCAAATTGAGATGACAAGTGAGCTCTAAGCTTATTTGTTTTATAAAATCCACCACTAATTGCTTACAGATCTAATTAACTATATGCTATAGTAATTAGGTTGATCAAGTGTTTGCTAAACATAGATGTATACGGTCGAAATCAGGCACGCCCGATTTCCCAGGCTCGAGGGATCGCCTTAGGTCCGAATTCAAGTAAGCTCGAGTTCGAGGTCGACAGACTAGACTCGAGCTCAAGGACGGAATGCAATGCCCGAAGATAGGAGTGCGGGGAATACCGAAGTTGAGTATGCTCGACCACGAAATTGTACCGTTATGGAATGAGCTAGATTCCTGCCATGCCCCCAAGATCATGGCACAAATCCCGGAATAAGATCGTACGATTCCGTACTAGGCGGTTAGACAGCTGTACCAATAATATTCCTTTCTGTAAATAGAAATGTACCTTATTTAGGGTTCCCCTATTATATAAAGAGGACCTCAATCATTTGTAACATCATCTAATCATTGGCAAAGAATATACTCTCTACTTTTCGCTTACTGTTGATCATCAGAATTGTCCTTTCTCTTTACTATTCTTATTTTATTGTTCTTGGTTCATCTCGAGGTCACTAAGCTCGAGGTCACCACTGCTGAGTAACATTGGTTTGATTAACTTATTTCTTTCATTTCTACTTCATATTTCTTGATTATCAATTAGTATTGAACTAAATCACATATCTTTAAAACCACAAATCAAAGTTAATTGTTACTCATATTTTCGAGGTAAACAATAGAAATTTGAACTGTAAATTGAAGTCATTTGTAAAGGCAATTTGAAGTAAGTGGGGTTGCTTCAAATACAAATATCCATTAACCAAAAAAGGATTCTGGACATATGTGCTTTTTTTATTTTATTTTACAAGAAAGTGAAGTCCCTACTGCTGTCTAATCAAGCTCTTGGAACTGAAAGTGCTCATCAAATAATTAGTTTCAAAAGGAAAGCTGCTGAAATTAATTATTTAACAAATTGAGAAAGGGAAAGGAGGAAAATAATGAATAGGAAAAGAGTGGAAGACATGATATATGCCCACTCTGATTTTCTGTCTTATATATACATAGTTCACAAAGGAAGATAGGAAGTGGAAATAAAGATTCTCAATTTTCCATAATGTTAATAAAAAAGTTTCACATAGTTATATAGAACAAACTATGAGTTGAAGATTTATATGTGCACTAATTAATTTATGTTTTTCTGCTTTCTATCTTTTTCCTCATGTAGACATGTCTTTATCAATTAGATACAATTTTTGTGCAAAATGATACTAGATGGGATATAAAGTGGCTTTGTATATATTATTTTAAAGTAAACAATAAAAAGTTCTTGCTTAACTTATTTAATTGGAAGCTAGCAATCATCAGTGAGATGAACCATAAAGATATCCATGTAGATAAAGTACCAAGTGAACGCGGGCATATTTAATTTATTATAATAAATAAATATGGAATTGCACTCGAATCTTTGTCTGTAAACACTCTGATTCCATGCATATATCTCATTATAAAAGATAATTATCATCAATCATAGAGCCAAGGATCACATGAAATGGAAATGGCTCCAACTAAAGACATTACAGGTTTTTATTTTCTTTCTATTTTCCTTTCGAGCTCCAAAAATAAAATTTATAGGAGAAATCTCCTATTTTTTATGAAAGAAATATTCATTAATTGATAATATTTCTCTTGCTTCAACTAGTTTTACGCACAAGGAAGAAAAAAGGTTTAATTTCTGTGCCCTTCATTAATGGTTTTTAAGGTGGACAATACTCTAGCATAAATAATTCACGCTGTGGAGCAACAATTGAACTTTATAAGAAGAAAAGTATCAAATTCAACAATTGGACATAGCAAAACAGAAAGTTACAAAAATAAAAAGAAAGATCGTTGATGGAATTTGAGAGCAAGAAAACACAAGATGACACCTCAACTCTTTGCATGCGAATTTATTATTAGCAACACTTCAGACTTTAGTTTATAGTACTACAAAGATTAAAGTCTTCTTTTTGTTCATAGTTTATACATAAAGTCAACAAATGATTAACAATACGGATCAGCAGAGTTTTTAAATTTCTTCTATAATAAAGGTATCTTCTTATTACTTCAACTAGGAACTATAACTAGATTCTTACCTTTTCGCCGCCTAGAATCTTTACTTTAGGACTTTAAAAAGTTTATTAATGGGGTTTGTAGCTTCGCAATGAAGTTGCTTGTGTCAATTTGTTGAATCTACACTCCATGAATCAAGCTTCATAACATGCAAAATGAATCTAGGGTTGCGTATGACAAAAATTAGGAAGAGAAATAAAGAGAAGAGTTGGAGAGAAGAGAGAACATTTTCTTATCTTTAGTAAAAGAGAATGATACAACTGAATTGGGGAAGGGCACTGTTCTATATAACAGAATCATGCGCCCTTCACACCCCTCTAACAATGTGACCCTTAAAGTTCTTTTGTCTACACTTAGGTCCCTCAATTAGTTTATTAACTAACCAATTCAATCTAATGCTCTTGATACTCCCCCTCAAACTGGAGAATGGAAAGCATCGAACATTCCCAGTTTAGACATTAACATATGATGCTAAGCAACTCCAAGGCCCTTGGTCATCATGTCTGCTACCCGTTCTCTTGTAGAAATATAGTGAGTGGAGATCAGTCCACTTTTGATCTTTTCTCTCACAAAGTGGCAATCAATCTCTATATGTTTTGTCCGTTCATGATAGATTGGATTTGCAGCTATTTGTAAAGCTGGTTTGCTATCACAAAAAACCTTTACTGGCATCTGTAAAGATACACCAAATTCTTTCAGCAATCCTACTAGCTATACCAATTCTTCACTAACAACTGCCATGCTTCTATACTCACCTTGTGCAGAACTTCTACTTACTGTCTGTTGCTTTTTGGACTTCCAGGAAATCAGTGATTCACCAAGTTTAATGACATAGCCTGTCATTGATCTTCTGGTGTTTGGGCAGGCTGCCAAGACAGAATCACAATAGGCTGAAATCTCTTCTAATGATCCCTTCTTCAATAGAATTCCTTTTCCTGGTGCCCCTTTTATATATTTCACCACTCTCATAGCTGCCTCTAAATGTGATTGCTTTGGATGTTGCATAAATTGACTTAGAACATGTACTGCAAAGCAAATATCAGGTCTGGTTATGGTCAAATAAATCAACTTTCCAATCCATTTCTGATAGCCTCCAATATTTGTTAGCTCCTCATCTCCTTTGAGTCCTACATGATTATCATAGTCAACAGTAGTAAGCTTTTGATTTTGCTCAAGGGGTGAACTTGCAGGCTTTGCACCACCGAGTCCCAATTCTGATATAAGCTCTAATGCATACTTTCTTTGATTTAGTAGTATGCCTTTGTGTGACCTCATGATTTCAATTCCCAAAAAATACCTTAACTCTCCTAAGTCTTTCAGCTTGAGGACTTATGTAAGGTCTTTTTAACTTCATCTATCATATCACTGCCGCTCCCAGTAATCATCAAGTCATTCGCATGTACTAAGATGATTACTAAGTATGTTCCTGACTTCTTTGTGAACAAGGAATGATCATACATACTTTATAGGCATCCTGCCTTAGTAAGAGCAGTAGTCAGCTTCATATTCCACTGCCTTAATGCCTGCTTGAGTCCATAAAGAGACTTAAGTAACCTGCTAACCTGAGACTCCCCTTGCCTATGGAATACTTGTGGCAAAGTCATATACACCTCCTCATAAAGATTACCCTGCAGAAATGTATTGTTTACATCCATTTGGAATAACTTCCAACCCTTAGAGGCTGCAAGGCTAATCACAGTCCTCACTGTGACCATTTTTGCAACAGGTGAAAAGGTCTCATGGTAGTCAAGATCTTCCTGTTGTGTATAACCCTTAGCCACCAAGCGTGCCTTGAACCTGTCAATCTGACCATTTGCCTTGTATTTGATTTTGTATACCCACTTTGAGCCAATTGCCTTCTTTCCTGGTGGCAACTCTACTATTTCCCAGGTTATGTTGGCTTTAAGTGCCTGAATTTCTTCTTGTATACCCACTTTAATCCATCTCTCATCTGTAGAGGCTTCATAGAAAGTCTTTGGTTCTGTAAGGGCTTAAAAACTAGTGAGGTATGCTTGGTAGTGTGGTAGCAAGTGTGTGTGGTTGACATAATGAGAGATTGGATAGTCAGTGTGTCCTGATGGTTTCCAGCTAGTAACATAGTCTTTGAGCCAAATTGCTGGTTTTGTGCCTTTGGTAGATTTCCTAACAGTGGGAGCTTGTGCATTATCAACAGGTTCAAATGACTGCAACTGTTGAGGCGTTGCTTGCTACTCTTGCAAATCTGCTTCAGTTTCCTCCATAACTACTAGAGGTTCAGCTACAACATCTTCTAATGCATTTGGCATATTTACATTTGCTCTTGCTGACTCATCCAGGTCTATATCTTGTGAGTCTGTTGCTGTGTGGCTTGGTTGAAGGAGAATGGCAGGGATTGCCTCTGTATCCATTCTTCCATTGCTTAAGTCTTCCGGAGTTGCAACAGGAGCATCATCAGCATTTGTTCTTGGTGCACTGGTGTGGTTGTTGTGATTGTTGGATCCTCTTGTTAGCACGGTTCAATACCCTGAATGTTTTCTCGGGGTTTGAGAGTCCTTCAAGCAATTCTCCAGTCCTCGAAGAATTTCTAGGCATACACCTGAATTCCACAAGAGTTCAAACGTGAGAATTTCAATGAAAAGATTGTTTAACACCTTCGAAAATTGATCTAAACTAATAATTCTAACACTACTTCTAAGTTGTAATAAATAACACCGTTAATTCCCCGGCAACGGCGCCAAAATTTGATCACGCCCAACTATGTCTCCTAAAAGACAAAGCGATCGTCGCAAATATAATACGATTTTAAGTTCGGAGTCGAATCCTCAAGGAACTAACCTATCTATTACAACTCTTTAGCAATGCTATTATCACCTCAACCAATTTCCTGATGCAAGATTTTTATCAATCAATCTTGGGTTTTGTTTAACTACTTCAAATGATATTAAAAATAACAATATGCTAAACTGAAGATAATTCAATGGTAAAAAGGTCTAGGGCAGTGATTTCCCCAATTGCTAGTTTAGGTCTTGACTCCTTCGCTATAATCTCGCCGTAATACTCTATAAGGATTAAGAGCTATGGGTTGTCGTAATTATCTCTCGATAAACTACGATAATTTACTAGAGCATTCTCTCGAACTACTCTAGCTGACAATATGTGCAGCTCTAATTTATCCCACCAAAGTTTCGTTATCTCTAAACCCACTTTTAAGTTCAAGTAATGAATCTCTTCAATTACCCAAAAGTGGTGTTGTTCAACAGCAGTCTAACCTAATATTCTTCCTCAAGCAATATAACGCAATTAGACACGACTAATCAAGGGCCCATTCAATTAACCACCATACAAAACGTAGTTGAACAATCATATAATAATTCCAGCTTGATTATAAGAAGTTGAGTCAAAACTTCAACCAACAATTAGTTCCATCAATCCTAGATCAATAGTTTAGCTACTCATAACAAAACAAGACAAAAATACAAAGTTTTTCATAATGTATAATTGCAAGAATTAAAAGGAGATAGAAAAACTCTAATGTTTAGTTGATCTTCTCACACATGTTCTTGCCTCCAAATTAGTCTAAAGACAAGCTTAATAATATCTTGGGCAAGCTTCTAGAGTTTATAAGGGTTTGGAATAAGTTTTCCCCGAGTTACACTTTGGTCCCCAAATTTTCTGGCAACTGAACAGTTCACCGCGGTCGCGGTGGATTTCACCTCATTCCATTTTTGTTTCTTTATGCTCGGGTGCTTCTTGATTGGACGTTTTCTTCACATTATTGACTCCAAGACACTCTGTGGTGCTTCCTAACTTAGATTATTCCCTGCGAAGCAAAAGAACACCAATTAGAACATTTTGTTATCAATTCGCTTATAAAACAACAATAAAGCATGGTAATATTAAGGTGTAAATATCATCTATATAGCCTAATATCAACACCCCACACTTAAATCATTGCAAGTCCACGAGCATTCCACCACACTCTTTCAAAGTTCCTCCCCTAAGCTTTTCCCTTAACGCATCACACCTTGAACAATTTATCAAAGTTGCACCTAGTAGTGAACAACCTTTGCCTCAAAAGTCGAATCTCTCGTACCATGCTATGTCCGCACTTACTCAAACTACTCTATAGAGAAATCAAGACTTACCTTTCCTTCGTGAATCACATGCCCTCACATCACACAAGAGAGTAGTTCCACAATTAATATGATTAAGAACAATTAGGAACTCGGATGGACAAAATTCGCCCACTCTCCAAAAGAACATTCACGTGCCACAAAGATGCATCATAGGCTTGCCCGTAGTGTAATACTCTACTAATCGAGCCTATCCAATCTAAGGTCAATTAGGACTTCACTTGGTTGTAATGTAGGCTAAGAGATGGGTAGGATATATTTGGATATAGTAACTAACCTCCCTAAGCACTTTTAATACAAAACAAATTAACATTCCATATCATTCTTATGTCAACCAGACATTCCACCACAATTTATTTATTACATCACATTCCTTTAGGTGCTTTGTATCAAGCTTCCACTTATCAACTACTACATTTATTCACAAATTTTTTTTTCTTCTTTTTCTTTTGTGGCGCTTCTTCTTTTATTCTTCAAAGCTGCACCTTTCCTCTATTTTATTGGTTCCACTCAAAACCAAACCACCACCCCACACTTTAACTTTTGCATATGTCAAGGCCATTCAAGTGCTCATGGGAGGTAAAAGGGGTTCAAAAAGAAGGCTATTCAAACAATTGGATAAGGTTCGCAATGTGGTTGCCAAAGAAACAGGCTTATAGGCTCAACGGGGTTAACTACGATGTACTACATTCAGGTGGGTTTACCTTATATATCTGGCTTACAAAGAAATGCCTATATCACTTCTAAGACTGAATGAAGCTACTATTTTTCTTTGCAAACACACAGGGCAAGTTCTAGGCATCAAATGTAAAACATAGAATACAGTATAGCTCACACACATATGGCATATGACTCACTCAAGATTGATTTATCAAGACATTATCTTTTGAGTGTTCAAGTCAGTTACAAACATACAACTTTAAGGCACTTTAGCAAGAGTCAACCATTGAGACTAGGCGTTACACTCTAGTGTCGATTGTGTTCAGGTGCATTAACGCCAATGGATTCTCTTTCTATTTCAGCTCGTAGCCCATCAATGCTAACTAAAACTAAAGACAAACTAAACAAAAACTACCTACACCCGGTTCAAGATAAACCCTTGGAAAAGAACCGTGGCCGAAAGAAAAACCAAGGGGGAGTTACTACACTACCTAAAAATTAAGAATAAAATTTTTTTTTTGGTATTTTCTCTAGACTAACTTCCCTCAAGAAAATTGTCTAAAGGATCCGTCATCAGGAAGAGTCTATATATTCCTTTTTTTTTAATTTTTACATCGACTTAGTCCCTCAAGACCCCGTCGAAAGACATCCATCGTCGGTACAAGTCAACTTTCCTATTTTAAGCTTACCTACTTTAACTATCAATCAAACCACAAAACAAAACAATCAAGAATTACATGTACATAAATACATTGAAGTAGCCCCCACCCCACACTTAAAAGGTAGCCATGCCCTCATGGCATAAAAAAATTAAGGAACAATGAGGTAAAAGAACTTCCCTGTAGGATCACTCCTGATTGGAGACGGTGTCTGGGTTCACATTGCAAGCACGACCCAGAACTCTCAGCCAGCCTAAGATTTTCTTCTCCGACTTGGTCTGGTGAGTGGCCAGAGTGTCAACTCTGGTGCCCAGGTCAGTGACCGAAGTGCGGAGACCAGCCATTTCCTGCTCTAGGGCTGTCAGACGGGTGCTTCGGCGGGGCTGTAACGGGCATGCCTCCTCAACTCGCATAGGTGGTGGGACAGAAGCTTCCTCAGCATCATCATTAGATTCATCATCATCCTCAACTATCACCACCGGCTGTCTCCCTACTGTTATCTTGCTAGCCCAGAAAGGGGCTTTCAACGGCAATTTCCCATCAACCCTGAGGTTTTCAGGGATTCTAGCAGCACGGCACAACTTGGTGACCAGAGAAGGGAAGTAAAAACCTTTGAGTAACTCAGGTGAGCGGATGAACATCTCATCATGAATGAGTTGGGCAACATCAAAATCCTCGTGGGTCATGAAACAGTAGATAGTTGCTACCCGTGGTTGGTTGATATCAGTAGTATTGCTGGAGGGCAACAGCCGACTGTTGATGATTGTGAGCCAACACTTAGCCTCCCAATTGAGAGACTGGGAGTTAAGTGTGATCCCATGCTTTATCCATATGTATTCTCTAT